TGTGAAGCATGATGCAGACTACAAGATGGGACGTGAGCGATGTTCGTCTCCTCTTGCAACCTCCTGCTGGGTTGCCGGACCCTGTAGATGAAACCATGAACAATGCAATGGGTCAGGAAAGGCCCACATCAGCATGAGAAGGTGGGACCCAATCCTGCAAGCAGTGGGACACATTTCCACAGGAAGTCCACGAGTAAAAAGAAATGGTGTTGGTGTGGTTACAGGGGACTGGATGGTGGGAAATCAGGCACACAGACCTGGGACAGGGAGGAGGTTCAGGAGGAGGTGTGGTACAGGAGGACTAGGGCAAAGGCAGTGGCCCTGGAGGAGGAGTTGGGGGCTGAGCACACTAAGGCCCACCCTCAGTCTCTGGGGTCACCAGCACCTGATGGAGACCTTCTCTGAGCCCCAGCCCTGAGGCTCCCATAGCCTGTTTCCCAGTTGCCTTCCCAAGAACATGGAGCCACTTCTCTCTCCCAGCACCATCTCCTATCAGAATCACTCATCCTGTTCTATGGAACAGCAAGAGCCTCACACTCGGCTCTTGGCAGGGAAACCGGCTTCTCTCCAGAGTGTCCTAATCCTGGTTCCCTTTGCCTGAGAGAAAGAACATGCACATCCACAAGGGGTGAATGTCTCCCTTTACAGTTAAATATTAGCTTCCGGCAAGCTGTGCGTTCTCTCAGGAGTGAAGCAGTTGAGACTTCAGCCTCTTTCTCCAAATGGATTGGAAATGGGGGTGGGGCAGGTATCGAAAGGGATGCCGCCCCTGGGTGCCATCTCACCTCTGCATGCACACACGCCTGCGCAGGCACACACACATCTCACCCACATACCTTACGCGGGGGAAGAGAGGGAGATTGGGGGCAGAGGAGGAGGAGGGCAGTGTTGCTGCCTGAGGCACGAAAAGAGAAAAAAACCCAACCTACCCACCTGGCCATTTTTTCTTATCACCAAAGATTGGAATGTGCCACCTATTGAGATAGATCTCTCCTACATAGGTGTTTTGTTTGGACCACACAGTGTTTTTTAAAATTTTTGAATTTGTGGCCAACATTTAAAAATCAAGAGATTTCACATTAAAAAAAATGATTCTTGGCATGCAAATTGCTTGCTCAACAGCACGGGGCTGACCTTCATAAGGCTACAATCAGCAAAGCTCTGTAGTAGCCACTGAGTCCTACTCCCAACAGCAGTTTTCACCATGATCCCCACCTAGTCCTTCCTCCCTCCAAAAGTTAGATTAAGGGGAGGTTAGATAGTTTCCCTGACAACGATGATGAAGGTTTTGAAGGTCACTTTCTTGTGGACAACTTTTGCTCTCCTGTCATAAGAGGGTAAGTTCACCATAGCAAGTTGCCATTCCCTATAAACTGGCTACTGCTGCCCGGTTGGCCCAACTCTTAGGAGGACACTCTTCAGGACCTCTGTGAGTTGTGTCTGGAATCTGACCTGCTTCATCTACAACTCACTTTTAACAGTGAATTCACAGACCAAGGAAATTTGTAGGAAAGGGGTTTGTTTTCTCCCCACAAAAGAAACAAAAATCGCAGCATAGCTAGGGTTAGCATTCTTCCAGATTTGCCTCTGCTTGCTTTGATAAAGGAGCGCAGGCCCTCCCTACTCCATTATCACCAAGACAACCAGTGTTCCGAATTGCTTGTTTTAATGGACGTTCAAACATCCAAAGTTTGTGGTTCAGTTGGAAAGTGGTTTTCTGTGTTCCTTGTGTTCATCCTTCAAGTTCAGAGCCATCACCACCTGAGAGCACTTAGCAAGCTCAGGATAACTGAAAGAGAGCATAAATCCTGCTTGCTTTGAACACAACCCAGGGCTCACAGTATGTTCCTGAACTGGCCAACGGTAATCAGCTCTTCCTCTCTCCTTCCCTCTTGTGTGCTTGTAAATCAAGAGGCCCCAGTATTAGTCACCACAAAAGAGATAATTAGTAAGTACAAAGCTGCTCCCTCCATCCATCACTCTGTGCCTTAGATTCCAGCTTAGCCAAGAGGTTGGAGCAAACTAACATTGCACAAGGATGAGTTACTTAAACAAGATTATTTTTTGTTTTCAAACAAAGCTTATGAGTCTGATTCACTCTAAATTCTGCAGTCATAAGAACAGCTGTGACCCTGGGCCAAAGGGAAGGTCCTTACTCATTGCATGAAGTTTGCCTTTCCTGGAACCCCAGGAATTTGAAATAGCAGTGCTGCTTTAATGGCATAGTCTTGGGGATTCCGAACTTTTATGAATGCTTCACCCATCTTCAGTGATCAGGAAACAGAATAAGATGCCACTTTCTTTTACTGGGATATGCCATGTCCTCCCCCAAGAAAAGCTTGCTTGTGCCTTTGCCAACCTTTTGTGCAATTGGAAAATTAATTTCCTGCTCTGGCAGGGCATATGGTCAAGGGCAACTGTTGCCCCCAAAAAATAAAGGCTGTTTCCAGACCCACTAAGCAGTCTAGGAACTTCCTTCCTGTGCCTTGCTGACCAAATATTGCTGGCCTGCATAGAAGTGTTCCACTCATGTATTTATGACTTGGGAGCTGCTCAAATGCACACTGGCTTCTATTTTTTCCATCACACAATGTTTCTTCCAGTTTTTGAATTTCCCATATCAACCACTTTGCTATTTTTAAGCAGAATATTTTCAAGCCAAAGTAGCTGGTCGGTATGATAAAATCTCACTGACTCTAGCAGGAGCTTGAACTCTTCCCAGGTGGGCGGTATAAGCAGTATGAACTGGGCCTTATCCCAGTCTTTCTCTTCTTCTAGAAGATGAGGGTGCACGGTTGTATAATCCTAGTTCCTTTCTATTAAGATTTAAAATCATGTTTCATCAAAGCTAAGATGCTGCTAATTCTAAGAAACATCATATTGAAAGTGCTTGGAAGAAAAAGAAAATTTAAAATGTTCCACTGGTTAAAAGATCTTGAAGCATCTTTAAAGATGTTTGTTCCCATGGTGACTGGATTGTTCACAGCAGACTCTTGTGCTTTGAAATCCTTTAAGGCAGAATTGGCAACTTCTCCTTCCCTGTGTTGTGTTGCTTGATATGACATAGTTGATCCTTTTTGAAGATCTAAGTAACAAAATGTAACATCACCTTTCATCTCCTTGGAGGTGTCTTTCTAAGCAAATAAAGCATTTTCTTATTCCTTTGCAAGAAAATATGGGTTTTCAGATCTACTAAGGATGAATATTTGCTTCATCAATATCCAACATATACCCCTCTGCTCTGTTTCTGAGACTTTCTATATGTATGGCAGCTTTTCATTTCAGTGCTGATTCATAACGTAAGCTTTTCTAAGACACTTAAGTGGCAGTTAAACTCAGGGTTGTAGTGCCAAGAGTGAGGCCAACACAGCAGAAATGACAAGAAAGATACCTGTGATTGTGTCTTTCTGGCCACTCTCAGGCAATGACATCCATGTCGTGACTGCTCCTTGGCAACAAACACGTACCCGCATCAATCACACTTGTTACAATATGGGAAAAAATGAGCATTTAAAAATAGCTAAATAATGGAAAGGTCTACAATTGACATCTACTGTGTATCTAGCAAGGTAAACTCTTAGCATGACAGTCTCCATTTCCAAGGAGCAAGCTAAACTGTTAATAAGACAGTATCAACAAAACTTTATGCCAAGAAGTAAGTGTAGATTTTTTAACCAGGTTAAAAAGAAAATTGCTCCACATCCCTCAGTTCAGTAAATTTAAGGGCAAGGATTCTGATCCAGACAATAGGGCCTTCTCTCCTGCCAGTTCTATGGTTATAAGGGTAGTAGACATCATGCATGCAGATCGACTGTAGACCAACATTGGATTCTGTTCCTTTTCAAGATTTTTCTTCCAATGAAGCATTATTTCCCACAGGATCACAAAGGTCTTTTTTAAATAGCTCAATCAAATAGAGGTTTTTTTTAATAATTAATTGATCAGAATAACTTCTAATTAGCATGTCTAATACATGCCAATGGCCATTTCTTAAAGGAACTCATGGGAATGATTTCTGTTTTCACAACTATGGGAGCTGCCTACCCTCACCACAGTGGATTGAGATAGTTAAATCATCATCATTTCCCAACCAAAACCTTGCCTGTGAGCTGAAATGACTTGCCCAGTGACAACAGAAATGCAGTCATGGCAAAATAGGGGCCTAGAGCTGCTCAAACCTTGAACTCCCAAGCATTGGGTATCATCCTCTCTTTCTAATTCTCCCTATTACATCAATGACTGGTCTTACACAGTTAGTTTGTATGATTTTTTACTTAAATGGATGGTAAAACAAATAGGTTTACATAAATGGATGGATAGAAACAAATATGTTTTTGTTAAAAAAAATAAAATAAAATAAAAGCTATTTTATTCTCCTAATGTTAGAAAATGTGACCATGAATGACATTTTCCAGTATATAACATCCCTGGTCCTGGCCTCTCTGAACAATAAGGGAGGTCCTTGGAGACCAGCCCAGAGGCAGAAATGGAAGCCACCAAGCCTGCCCCTAGAGAATAGTGATACTGAGAAAACTCCTGTGGCTTTGCGGCAATGGTGCTTTGGTTTCCATGGACAGTTAAATATGGATTCTGGGAGGAGCTTGGTATTTATGTTCAATACTGTGGGAGCAAAACCCAAAAGAAAGGAGTGAGAGTATGACTAAGAGCTTTCATGGTCAAAATAGATACCAGCAAGAAGAAATGACCAAGTCCAAACAGGTAAAGATCACCATCCTCCAACCCTAGTCACATAGACACCAGAATGTTCATAGGTCTGCATTCCAGCAACTGGGGTAGAGGCTGCATTAGGAGAATCCAGTAAGAACCCTTTAATTGTTTTCTCAGGTGGTTAATCCACTTAGTGGATATGTTGGTATATTGAGTTCCTAAGTGTGGAAAGGGAAGGGGGCATAGGGCCGGCCTATGTGTTTGAAGAGGCCTGACTGAATAATGGCTGCAGGGGGGACCCTTTTCTGACCTCCCCACTGGTCCTGTCTCAGCTGTAAAGGTGCCTCCCACTATGGCCTGACCAAAGACAGGAAGAGGCGCTCGCAAGATGGCTGCCCAGATGGCTGCGCCAGCCTCACAGCCACGGCGCTCTCCCCAGAGGTCTCTGCGGCTGCCACCATCTCCTTAATGATGGACGAGCCTGGCCTAGACAACCCTGCCTACGTGTCAACGGCCGAGGATGGTCAGCCAGCCAACAGTCCCTTGGACTCTGGCCGGAGCAACCGAACTAGAGGTGAGTCAAATGGGTGGGTGTTGGGGAATGGGCTCTTGGCCTTCCTTGGGATTGCCCTCCACGGAATACTCACTGTGGAAAATTCTGGAAATGTTTTTGTAAGGGAAATGGTTCTGGTAGTTTTGGCAGCCACTCCGCGTCCAATTCTCCAAAGTGAAATGAAACCAGGAGTACCTCAGGTCATTAGGACTGTGTACTCTGACGTGGTGAAAGGGGGTGAAGGGAGACCAGATGATTTATCACTCCCCCAGGGCCAGGGCCTTCCCTGCCTGCTCCAGAAAAGTGCTGTTACATTCACTTTCTCCCAAGGGGGAAAGCTGATTTTAAAACAAGCCACATGTATTTCACTGTAGAAAATTTAGAAAGCAGAGGTAAGCAGGTTCTACCTAGAGGTAATCCTACTACCTAGAGGTCACCCCTGATCAGGTTTTCATGTATTTTATCAGATGTGTCCATGAAAGATGATTTCTATTAACTACTGGTTCTATCACCTCGCTTTTCCTCAGCCCGGCCCTTTGAGCGGTCCACTATCCGAAGTAGATCTTTTAAAAAAATTAACCGAGCTTTGAGTGTTCTTCGGAGGACAAAGAGTGGGAGTGCAGTTGCCAATCAAACTGACCAGGGCAGGGAACATCCTGAAAATCCCACTGCCCCTGAAGGTAAGTGAAGTCCCCCAAGAGGGTGGACCTGGGCCAGGCTCCCAGGGTAATTCAGGGTGAGGACAACCTGGCCACCACCCACCTTTTCTTCCCAAGGTTATAAAATACTTTTTGCCTTGATCAATATCCTTCTCTTGTAAGTAACTGAACTCAGAAATGAATGCTGTCCTTTTTTACAAATGAGGGAAAAGTGTCAGATCCCTTGCCTTTAGAAGCTGGTTGAGGGCTGGGGCTGTAGCTCAGTGGTAGAGCACTTGCCTAGCACGGGTGAGGCACTGGGTTCGATTCTCAGCACCACATAAAAACAAATGAATAGAATAAAGGTGAAATTCTTAAAAAAAAAACAAAAAGGAGCTAGCTTTAATGCATCAAAGAATGATAATCATAGTTAATAAATGGAAAGCATTTAAAATAGTGCTGGCACAAAATAAATGACGTATTAATTTGTTCTCATTAAACTATGTACAAGGTGTGGTTCTGAGTGTTTTGTGTGCATCTCCTCAGTCCTCCACACAATGAAGAAGTTACTATTATTATCCCTGTTTTACGGGTGAAGGCAACTGAAGCACAGAGATGTTACGTGGCTTGTTCCAGCTTATCTTGCTGAACTTTGAATACAGCTCTAGAATCCATGCAAAGAAAGTCATTAGGTAGACAGTAGATCCTATGTGGTTTCGGCAGTTTAAAGGGAGCTGAAGAAATACCGTCTTACCCATTTCTTTTCATTTCATTTTAGAAGTTTCGAGTAGTAATAATAATAGCTTTTTAAATAAAAGATGAGTTCTTTCTGTGTTCCAGGTAGAGTTCTGAGCCATCAACAATGCTAAGGAACGAGGGTTATCATTCCCATTTTATAGATGAGGAAACTGAGTCACGGAGAGATTAGGCAACTAAGCCAGAGTCACCCAGCTGAAAAAATGAAATGGTAGAACTAGGATTTTAGCTCAGATCCACTGGCTCCAGAAACTACTCTGATAACCACCAAGTTATTCTGCCCTTCATTCTTGGGGGTTGAAAGGTGGAGCCTAAACCACCATATTTATTATGCCCTCAGAAGGTTCTCGAGGAGGCACATGAAGCCCCTTCTTTCTTACTTACTTATGACCACCTCTTACCCTGTGTGTGTTCTCTCCCTGTGTCTCTGCTTCTGTGTGTGTGTGTGTGTGTGTGTGTGTGTGTGTGTGTGTGTGTGTATTTGTGCATGTGCGCTCTCACTACTCTGAGCCTCTTACGGTCTTGTACGGACTTTACCTCTTTTCCTCACCCTACTGCTATTATTATGAGACCTCAAAATACCCATTCAAATTGCTTAGCTCAGTGCCACCGTACAATGAACTCACTGTAAACAATAATAATTGTCAAATACTTTGGTCCTCTGGGGAGCGTGCAATTTTGAATAAATTCTTTTCTTTCCAGACTAATGCAAGTTTGACAGTTCAGAAACGACTTTAATGCGTTGGAGTCACTAGGGTCTCGCTGGTGTGGCTCTAATTAACATCATTTACGAGTGTGACTGGGTCTGTCCTTTCAGACTATGAAAGCAGATGTCCTTGAGCGGTTTAGGTTTGGGAGTATGGTTTTTGTAACTCTGTTGGGAATGAGGTAACAAGGGAGGGGACAGAGGGAGGGAGGATCCGCAGCTTTGATGATTATTTCCAAATCTTTCTTTACTCAAAATACTTTTTAAGAACTCGCCTTTCCCTTGTTCCTAGACATGTCCTGACAGTTGCTGTGGTGTAGCCCACCTAATGGAATCAGAGTAGCTGAAACACTGATTGAACTCAAACACACCCAAGTACTGTTAGCACCAGGACCGACAGATTAGGACAGCTACTGGCTGCTTTATAGCAAAGCCAGTCATTTCCATTAAATTAAATCTGAGCAGAGTTTAAGGGCACACATTTACGATGTCTCAGGCTTGCTCTGGCCACTAAATTACCTTGTTAACCATGCTCTGTCACACTTAGAAATAACTGATTTTTTTTTTAATGTATGGTTGCTGGAGAGTTGGGTTTATTAGGAAAAATGGACTGAAGTCATAGATTTTGAAAATAGTCACCAAAAAATGGATTATCTAGAATCAGGCCTGCAGTGTTCCAGTTTTCCAGATGACAACATTAAAGGAGATTCTCAGGGTAAAGACAGCTGTGAGCAGCGGCAGGAGGCAGAAGCTCGTCCCTCTGCACCCTAACTTCAGGCTCAGGCTACTCAGGAGAGGCACTCTTCCCGCCTGACCTGGTGGCTGGGTCCCATCACTTAATGGTTTCTCCTCCATACACTTCAATTCAAGCTGAAATGGAAAAGTGTGCCCTTGCTGGGTTATGGTTCCTTAGGACAAGTCCCTGTGGCTTCTTACCTGGCTGTGAATACCTGGTTCCAGGAAGCCTGATGGAGGCAGTCAGCAGTCAGCAGGGGCACCAGGTTCAGACCTGGCTCTGAGGGTCACCTGACTCTGCAGCTCCCAGCTAGTTGGTTCACTTCCCCTTTCTGCCGGAACAAGCTAAGGAGCAGAAAAGGCCCTACAGCCACCATCTTAGATGCTTCTCTTTACCTGGTCATAGCAGGATGGGAAGGGGGAGGGAAGAGGGAACTATGAAAGGTTTCATGGGGAAATCAGATTCTTCAGCTAAAAAAAAAATTAAGTTTGGAAACACCAGCCTACATAATCATTAAATCTCCTTAGCTCTGAATCCAGTGATTGAGGCAGATCAGGGACAACCCTCCAGAAGCTAAGCCTTGGACTCTTCTTACTTATGAAACAGCTCTTGTGACTTTAACTATTGAAAGTGGCATCTGACAGAGAGGAATGATGATTCCCCCAACCCTAAAAAGCAGGGTCTTGAGAGGAAAGAATCCTTAAAATGATCAAAGAAGGCAGAAGAGCAGGTTTGTTTTATTTTTGTCCTTAAATCAGCAGGTGCTGACACTGCAGTCCATTCTTTAAAAGATGTTCCTTCATTCACTCATCCATTCCTGTTCACCCAGTAAATATCAGCAGAAGACTCTTGCATGCAGAGATCTGTACACAGAACCACGGAGAAGCCAGAAATCAGGCCCTCAAGGATTTTACTATCAAGTGGGCAATATAAGAAAGGGGCATGAATATCCGTAATATAAGGTTGAATGCCATAAGAAATAGAGAGAAAGGCTTACAGGAAATGGCATGTTTAGAGAGAGCAAGGGAAAGAGGGATCAGGGTAGAGTGTAATTGGAAGGGATCATTTCATGCAGCCTTGTAGGAAAAGTTGGTTTTAGGCCCAGGATGAAAAGAATTCCAGCAGAGCAACTCACCCTGGCACCAAGGGAGCATAAGTAGAAAACACACTCGAGAAACAATGAACAGTTTAATTTGGCAAGAAAAGCGGTTGGAAATGCCACTGGGTGGTTGTCTTAAATAAATACTATCTTTGCCCATTTCAGTCTTTCCAAGGCTGTATCACCTGATTCCAGATGGTGAAATTACCAGCATCAAAATCAATCGAGTGGATCCCAACGAAAGCCTCTCCATCAGGCTTGTGGGAGGCAGCGAAACCCCACTGGTCCATATCATTATCCAACACATTTATCGTGATGGAGTGATTGCTAGAGATGGCCGGCTGTTGCCAGGAGACATCATCCTCAAGGTAGAGTCTGTGGCTGTGGTCTGTGACAAGGCCCTTCCTATAAAAACCCTTCAGAGAAGATGATGGATGGATGTGGATGGACAGTTGAATGGACGGATGGGTAGGTTGGTGGATGGATGGCCAGACAGATGGATGGGTGGATGGATGGTTGGATGGATGGATGGACAGGTGGGTGGATAGATGGGTGGATGGATGGTTGGTTGAATGGATGAGGAGAAAAGAGCAAAATAAATGTGGACATTCACTTTCCATAGTTGTCATATGACTCTTCATATGAGATTTATCATAATTGAGAAAGTCTTTCATTCTCGCTCTTTCCAGTTTATAAATATTTCTGTTTCTGTATTATTTTTCTCTGTCTCCTTCTCTCCTCTCTTTCTTCTCCCTGCTACTTTTTAATCTTCTTTCCCCTTCTCTACCTCTCTTTTTCCCCCCTCCTTCTCCTTCAGCATTTAAGTAACATAAAACTGGAACATATATTTTCTTAAATTATTTTTAGAGCAGATTAATGGAACATTTTGTGTTTTATCTAATCACATCCAGATATTCTTCTAAAGTAAATTTCCTATGGTTTAATGGTTCTCCATGAAAATAAAAACAGTCCCTCGGCTATTTTTACCAACTCAGAGACATTGCAGGGGAGACACATGGAGGAGTGAGTTGTCTTGGGTGCGCTGTCCGCCAAGACTTGGGTGAGGAGAGGGACTTCAAGGAGGACTTTTCAGGAGAAAGGAGAAAATAAGAGCTGTTTATCAGACAGAAGTCAAACGTGTGCCAGAAGTGACGAGGGATCCCTCCCTGCTCGTATATTTCCTGATACTCAGATAACAGCTGCATCCCTCCCCTTCTAGGTTGCTAAGGGACAAGCTCTTGTCACACTGTGAGCTGTTTGTTTGGCAAACTAATTGGAAGAAGAGGAGACATAATCTAAAGCAGTTATTGCAGAAATGCTGACATTCCCACTGGCCTCTGAGGTGGGAATCAACCTCAGGGGGCCGCCAGCCGTGCAATCTGCAGTGCTCTGCATGGCTTCCTCCCCAACCATGGAAACTCTGCTGCCTGGGAGGGTTGCATAAGAAAACATTTTGATTCTTGTGGTCTTCAGCTGGCACTTGCAGGCAAAAGGGCTGCCAGCACTCTTTGCAGGCAACCCTGACCTCTTGGCCTGGGTGTAATGGGGAAAGCAGACCCCCTACTCTGCTCACCTGTGCTTGGACAAAGGTGGCCTGTGTTTGCATGGGGAGCCCCTGCTCTTCTCTGGAGCTGTAGCAGAGAACGGGTGACTGTCCCTCAGGAAGGTTTTTCAGACGAAGCTCATTCCAAGGCGCCTCTAACAATTGGCTGCAAGTACAAGAAATCTTACCAAACTCGAGAAATTCAAGAAGGCTGTGGCTCCTTCATGGGCCCCCTCCTCAAGAACCGAGTGCAGGGCTCCTCTGAATTGTTTTCTTCCAGAGAGGTGCCTAATGCTGGGGGCTGCAGCCCCCAGGCAGGACCTGCGTAGCTTGGAGTAATTAAAACCAGAAAGCCTGCTGCAGCAACAGCCCTGCACGCTGTTATGAGAGGCACAAATGGGAGAGCCAAGCTTAAGTAGGTGAGGTGAGCTAGCCTTTCAATAAGGGAGCCCAGAAACTTCCTTTCACATTGGTGTGTTTGAAATTGTATAAGGACTTCTCCCCACCTTTTTGCTGGAGGGAAACACAGACAAGATGAGCACCTTAATACCTACACACAATCACTTTCACTACCACACTCACATACCTGGAAACAGACTCATGCACACCACTTAGACACTTGTCCGTCACACACTTATACATACACCCTCATGCACATATGCACAGTCTCTCACACACACATGCACTATCACTTGTAACAATAATCACGCATATGCACACATGCACAGGTTCAGATTTATATATTCTCTTTCTCTCTCTCTCTCTCTCTCTCTCTCTCTCTCTCTCTCTCTCACACACACACACACACACACACACACACACAGAGAGAAATGGGAAAAAGAAGTTCCAGTATGGATGACCCAGGGAGAATAATCCAATTGAAGAATTTTGAAAAGAAAATGTCAACTCAGCTTGGTTTGAACCGCCATTAATGTTATCGTTTGGGGCTGGCATAGAGTTCAGTGGCAGAGCATGTGCTTAGCATGCATGAAAAAAATCACAAAAAAGAATAAGAGTTTAGTTATGTAATCATTTGACAGAGCTGGATGGGAAGATTTTTTTTTTCTTTTGTCTTTTCCTACTTTTTCTTTCTTCCCTCCCCTCCTACCAGCTAAAAACTAAGTTTGGCAGGCAACAGAAATGAAGGTTGGAACTCTGTAAATAAATGGGCAGCCTGTGTGAGGACAAGTTTGCAGATAGAGGGTGCCCATTCACAGAGGCCTGAAAGGTACCACGGGAAAACCGGGATGTTTGGACAGAATAAGGGGAGAGCCTGGGAAGTCTCTAAGGGAGCAGCACCCTGGGTCTTCCGAGGTCCTGGATCTTTAACTTGTTTACTGTTGAGGGATCTCACCCAGGGCCCTGCACAGGTGAGCCTGGGCCTCTGCGGAAGGGGTGGTTGACTGCAGATGCTCCATTCCCCCAGGTCAACGGAATGGACATCAGCAACGTCCCCCACAACTACGCTCTGCGCCTCCTGCGACAGCCCTGCCAGGTCCTGAGGCTCACCGTGCTGCGAGAGCAGAAGTTCCGAAGCAGGAGCAATGGACAGGTGTTGGACTCCTACGGACCTCGGGATGACAGTTTCCATGTGATTCTCAACAAAAGCACCCCCGAGGAGCAGCTGGGAATAAAACTGGTGCGCAAAGTGGACGAACCTGGGGTGTTCATCTTCAATGTGCTGGATGGGGGCGTGGCGGACCGACACGGCCAGCTGGAGGAGAACGACCGCGTGCTGGCCATCAATGGACATGACCTCCGATATGGCAGCCCAGAGAGCGCGGCTCATCTGATTCAGGTGGGTCACAGTCAGAACCCCCCAGCTTGAGCGGAGCACGTGCCTCCCTTCAGGCAGTCTAAGTGGAAGGGCCAGGGTTGCCAAAGCTTCGCCCAGGTAAGAACCGTATGCAAGCAACTGATGTGCCTTGGGATCTAGTGCATTCCCTGTGCATTGTTCCAGATGCAACTGAACACATGCGGCTATGTGTTGCAACCTCACAAGGTTAAGGTCACCGAAGGTTAGCAGGGTCAAGTCATCTTTGTACCCAGTGTGTTAGATGCAGACCTAGGAGTCATTCCCATACCTCTGGAAACCTCCAAGACAGCCTATTGTATTAACTCCCTCAAGAAAGAGTTCACAATAGCCTGACAGTGCATTAATACATTTTTCTAATGGGTGTGATTTCATTTAGATGAGTGTGCATCTTATTGACTGTGGTTGGATCACCATGGAATTTTCTTCCTTTTCTTTTTTGTAATTAAACTTTTTATTTTGAGATAATTCTGGTTTAATAAAAAAACAATCATTCTGGGTTGTTGTAAAAGACAACACAGAGGAATCCCTTATCCACATTTCTCTTTTCAACAGTGTTAATATCTTGCAAAACCCTGGTACAGTATCACAACCAGGCTGTTGACACTGACATATCAAGATGCAGAATATTTCCATCCCCACAAAGATCCTTATGAAAGTGATCCTTTTATAGCCACATCTGCCTCCCTCCTACCCCGCCTCCTCCTCACCCTTGGCAACTGCTCATCTGTTCTCCATTTCTGTAATTTTGAATTTTAAATTTTTTATATATATCATACAGTATATAAGCTTTTGTGATTGACTTTTCTCACTCATTTGAATTTTCTGAAGATTCCTTCAGATAGTTGGGTATCTCAGTAATGTTGCCTGAGCTGACAGCTTTATTCTTAAAGGGACAGATATTCTTCTGAGCTCTTGTGTTCTAACCCATTCATTCCCTTCACTTATCAAACATGTATTAAGTTTCCACTGCTAACCTGGCTCTGGGTTAGGTGCAGAGAACAGGCATGTGTTGCTCTCCCCAAGGAGCCCACTCTCTGACAGGGTGGACCTTCTCTTCACAACTATCATATGGTGTGATAGTTCTGCAATGGAGAACTAAAGTCTGGCTGATGCAGATGCTGGAGAGATCTTTGCTGAGATGGGCCTACCTAGGAATTCTTTGTGGCAGAAGAAAGTCTTGAACTGGAGCTTTCAGGAATGAGCAGAAGTTCTCTAGGTGGATAAGCATCAAGAATCATTCTAATGAGATACAACACAGAAGAACATTTCCCTCTGTCCCATCAGGGTAATGGCTAATACCTGAAGCATAGTGGGTTCAAAATAGCAGCAAATACACAAGGAAGAAGTGAGAGGCAAGGGCCAGGCCATGGAGAGTATTATGAGCCAGGCTAAGGCCAAGAATATCTCCAAAGCCATGGAATATCATTGGATGGCTCTAGGAAGGAAGGTGATGTGAATCTTCCAGAAAGATCTGTCCTCAGAGAGATAGACAGTCAGCAGCAGAAACTGAACCCTGCAGGGCTCAGAGCTGCCCGCAAGCACTCATGCTTCCCTCTCCCCTTGGCACCTACTCATGGACTTCTTCCAGGGGACAGCAACTCTGATCACAGTTGTGTGTGTGCTTATCCCTCTTCTTCAAGGAGAATTGAGCAGTACATTGTATATTTGCCAGTTGAAACCTGGGCAGCCAGGGGCAGAGGGTGCATGGGGACTTGCCCTATTCCCTCTGCTCATGAGGGCAGGAAGCACACCTGGTGCCTGGGCCCTGAGCAGTGGCTCTTGGTGGGAGTCCCAGTTCCAAGGTAATGCTCAGCCCCCTGGGTGTTCATTTGCCCAAGAAGGCCTGAGCTCATACCCTGTGGAGGAGGTAGAGGAAAAAAGCAGGGTTACCAGAGGCATATCCTCTCGGGGTTTACACCAGAATTCAAATTACCTGGCCCCAACATCTCTGACCACCACACTTACTTAGCTACATGTCTTCTTGGTATCTAAAGTAAATGTCTAGCCAGGGGCAGTGGCATGCACTAGTAATCCCAGTGGCTCGGGAGGCTGAGGCAGGAGGATTACTAGTTCAAAGTCAATCTCAGCAAAAGCAAGGCGCTAAGCAACTCAATGAGACCCTGTCTCTAAATAAAATATAAAATAGGGCTGGGGATGTGGCTCAGTGGTTGAGTGTCCCTGAGTTCAATCCCTGGTACCCATAAATAAATAAATAAAGTTAATGTCTAAAGGCACTCAAAAATGTCCAAAACGGATCCCTTGACTTCTCCACACTCCACCCATGGCCAAACCTTCTCCCCTTTCTCCTTTCCAGTCTCCAGAAATGGCGCCATTTACCCAGTTACTTGGCCAAAAGGAGTCTTCACATACTTGAGCATCCTTCTCTCCCAGTTCGTTTCTCACCACCTCCGTGGCCTCCATCAGCCAGGCTGGCCCACTGCAAGAGCCTCTTAACCAGCCTTCTTGCTTCCACACTCAATTGCAGAATGACTTCTTTGCAAAGCCACCCTCCTGCTCTCAGCCTTCTGGGCCTTCTCAAGATAATTAGGTTAAAATTGCAAAACCCTGGCATGGTGGGCAGGCACAGACATAGTCTGGCCTTCCGTTCTCTCTCCAGATTCATTTCTCAAGCAAAGGGGAGAATTTCTGGTATTCTCCACTTAGTTTAACCATTTTTAGCTACATTGCCTTCTTCCCACTCTGCACATATTTCAAGAAGTTTTCCACCTCCGAGCCCAAGTTCTTGCTGTCCCTCTGCCTAGAAGAATCTTCTGTAGAAGATTCATGTCTATCAGACTCCCCCCATATCTCATTTAAGTCTCTCCTTCTCAGAGAGGCCTTCCCTGACAGTCTCACTTAAAATAGAGTGCCCGTCACAGAGTCCATCATCTCCTCTATTTTTCTTTCCTACCAGCTGTTTTATGATTACCTGCCAGTCTAGGGTGGCATAATATGGTGGAATATTATATCCCAAGCACTTAGCCCAGTGCCTGGCAAGGAGCAGGCACTCTAATAAGCATTTACTTAAGGTTTGAAAATTTTGTTGAATTTGAAAAATGGAGTCAAATTATAAATCTGTAAATGTATGTAAGATATATTTTAGACACATTAATTCCACCTCACAAGGACTTGTTTTTAAACCATTTTACCAGAGAACAAGAAGTGCATCTACTTTTACATGCTATTTGTCCCCAAGACATAATCTCTCCTTGGATTTGTTCACATTGTTGTTTGAGAAGCATCTGTGTACCCAGAGATGTGCAATATAGTGACAAACCAGACTGACACAGTTCCTGGCCCTATAGCCCTTGGAACGTACCCGTTCTTGACTCTGATCTCAAGTAGAAGTCAGCATGAGATGTGTGGCTCTAGTCTGCATAAGCCAGTAGGTGAAAACACAAATATTGGTGCATAAAAAAGAGTCTGTTTTATTTTTCCCATCAAGGAACTCCATTCTTAGCATTATTTTTTCTCTCCCAAAAGGAGAACTTTTAGGAGATCATCAATGTTTCTTTCACGTTACATTGTTAGCGCCCTCTGCAGGTCAATTGAGGGAACTCACATTTTGAACATGATCTGTTGCCAACTGTACTTCGCAATAGGCAAAGGAAAAGCTCTTACTCATGTTATTTGGAAAAATCTTGATTGCATGTGGCAATCTACTTTTGTAGATTAATAACAGAAGAGCAAAAAAAATTCCCTGAGAAAGTTAATTTATGAAATAAAATCTTGCCTAACAGTGGGAATTCCTAAAAGATTCTTTTGCTTACTAAACAAAGCCAATGTGCTTTATAAGCAGGAAAAGTTTTTCTTAAAAAAAAAAAAAAAAAAAACTAGGGCAAAGCTAGTTGGAAAAGAAATGAAGAAAAAACAGAATGCTAGAAAAACTCAGCCAAGCAATCTCTTGCTGTTTCTAAAGAATGGATTTTATTTATGTGTTACTTGTAACACACACCAGGCTGGGGGGATTAAGCTAAATGCCCTTCAAAGGTTGAGACTCAGATTTCCACCCATTCCTTGGCTCTGCAGCCCTCGTATGTCTACTCCATGAATCACATTTGCCTTACAGAGAAATTCCCAGACAACATGTCCTCTTGACCATGTTCTCTCCCACAGTACCCCACATTCTGCTTTTTTTTCTGCATTACTTCAGGGAAGAGTTATTACAGAGAGACCGCAACTGTTTTAAATCTGACCAACTTTACATATGTTGAGCCCTGACCTCAGCTTATTCAGCAGCAGCCTGGGTTAACCAGACCCTAGTGTTAGACAGATGGTCAGGCCCCACTGAGAAGAAAAACCTTAAAGAGACAGAAACATCCAACACAGAGCAGTTGACTTCGTGAGTACAAGTTGATTTTTCACTGTTGTTAATTTCTCAAGTGTTTTGAGCACTCTCATGGGACTAACTGTATATCAGAGACAGTGTTTTGGAAACTGTTTGATGTCATACCAAAATAATAGAACAAATAAATAATGGACTAAAGCATTGAGACACAAGGAAGAACAGAAGTCTCAACATCCCACACCTAGGAGGTCAGCATGCATCCACCCCGTTCGCATGAGTCTTTTATTCGGAGAGGTATGCCTATTTTGAGATGCTTTCATTTCTTGGGCAATTCTAGATTCGTGTGTACATATTTATTTAGAAAGCAAATATAATTCATGTGTATAATTAATAAAGAAAGAAGGTAACTGTGAATTTCAAACTTGAGCATTCCTCTTGTGGCTTTTGTCTTTTGACAACCCCAGACTTGATGTAGACACTGAAAAAAATTCTTAACCATTAGTAGAGGTGATAAAACGAGGGGTTTTCATGAATACTGACATGTGCTTTTGTTCTTCAGAAGAGTTAATATTTAAATGGAAAGTTATTTTATTAAAGAAAAACTGACACCCAGGCACTTCAGACTTTTAAAAAGAATACAACAGGGCTTTAGACAAAGCCAGAAGGCAAGTAATACCTTATCATATTACCTAGG